TCTCTCTCTCTCTCTCTCTCTCTCTCTCTCTCTCTCTCTCGGTCTTCTTCTTCGTCGTGGTCTACTTGCAGGTGCGCGGCGGCTTCTTCAACCTCAAGTCCGCTATGGCGGACTATCACCCTCGGCGGCCACCTCGGCTATGGCGCATCAGGTCCTGCATACGACGGCATGCATGGAATAGCGGGTACCAGCTCTGATACCAATGCAATCAGACTTGTTCTCAAACACACTTTTCATGCATGTAAACAGCAACGCAGCATACTGGCAACATGCGCCCACTCAAAACTCAGAGAAATGGCTTTCAGATACGAGTTCACTCTCAATTGGCCATGGCGACTTCAGCGCCCAAACATCTCACTGTTCACATTCACTGGATCACCCTGGATATCCCACACGCATCACTCTAACACTCGAACACACGCACACACTCGCTACTAACTACAGCTATGGCAGCTATCGCTGCATCTAACCTATCACTATGCTAACTCCCTCTCTCTTGCCCACTGCGTCCTCCGGGCTCATCCGCAGACCTCCTTGCACAAGTCGCTGTGGCAGCGCTTCCGCATGGCTCACACAGGAATGAATGAATGGCTGGGCACTGCCTCTTGATTTATACTTCAGAAACTCGTTGGTCTGCCCCTTGCCATCGGCCCTTGGTGCTCACAGTCCCCCCGTGGTACTTGCTGGACCGGAATGGGACTGACTGGACCTTCCGCTGACTGACTGTGGACTCACCGCTATCCTACCGCCGCTGTACTGCTGTTGCACTGCGGTTTAGTCCACCACTTGCCTCGCCACTTGACCACTTGCCCACTTGCCTACCTTCTAGAAGGTCTACAGCTAAGCTTYCGGAACTCACTAAGACTTCTACGCTATAGACCTACAGATCGAAACCCTGCTGCCTATGGACCTACGACAGACCTACCAACTGTCTACGAATACACAGGTCACAGGTTCAATTCTCGGGGTCTATACAGATACTGTCTAGGGATCGAACCCTGGGCACTGCATCTGCTACTGCTAAAAGGTGAAAACCGTTTCACACTGGAAAATCACCCCGTTATTTTTCAAGGGGCGGCAAGGACCCGAAAACGTCCTGGGCCGCCTCGTTTTTTATTTTTTTCGATTTTTGTCCTGGGGGACTCTAACCAGACATAAGGACCAGACACTGGACACCGGACATGTTGTTCCGGATTGTCTGGAACCCGGTCCGGACGGTTACCATGACAAAAAGACAACAGGGTCTTTAATCTTCCACCATTTTTCTTTACGCGGACCATGCCTGCCTTTTTCCCTGCACGCTCTCCCTTTTCTCTCTTGTCTTTCTTTCTTTTTTCCTTAACCCTAGTTTCTACCCCCAACATCTCTCTCCACACTATACAGCAGGGTCTTTAATCTTCCTCCATTTTTCTTCCCATGACCCATCGCCTCCCTCTTCTCTTTTGTGTTGTTTTCTTTTTTCCTCAACCCCAATTTATTCCCCCAACATCTCTCTCAACACTATCCCTCCACTTGCCCTTCCCCCCCCGCCTCCCCTCCCCCCTTCTTCACATTCTGTGTCTGCCGCCTGTGGTCTCCTTCTACCCAACCCTTGCTGAGCTTGCTCTCTGTTCCTGCATCTCCCACTCGGTGTCTCTGTCCTGCTGACGAGGACTACCTACACTCACGATTTGCTACCCCCTATGGCCCTCGCTCCACACCGCTGTTAGTGCAGAGCATAGGGAGGATAATTCTAGTCTTCAGATGAAGGGGACGAACCAAAGGTGAAGCTTTCAACTGCAGGGTCCCTATTGCTAAGAGGAACAGGGCGATGGTCAACTATAGTCCCTCTGCCCCTGAGTGGTCTCCTCAAATTCAGCTTTGGAAGGTCGTTGAGGACTTCTAGCCAGATATGAAAACTTAATCATCACAATGTATGTGGCAGAGGTTTACATTTTGCAGCATAAGCCAAATTGCAACAGTGCGGCGCTAACGCTACAGCGTTAGTGCACGCATCAGACCTTCTCCTCTACTGCTCAGTTTGGCAAGAAGGATTGAGTGAACAGGGAGTTTGGAGGAAGGGCTTTCGGAATTAGGGGTGGAGCAGTGGTACATGCTTCCTGTAAGGGAAGCAATGAATGCTGCTGTCTCAGGGTCCCTTGACCGTAACCAAGGGTACCGTGGCGCGGGTTTTGTTGTAAGGGACGCTGGACCCAATTTCCAGATTTCTCATAAAACGTTCATTTTCTTTATTGAAAAATACAGAAAAAAGATCTGATGATAACAGATTGTTTTGTTCGACTTGCACCGCTGACTCATCAGGAGGCTGAACTGTCGACAATCTCAGGAATCTGCATATTGATGCTTTGAGTCATAAACCCTCGACTCTTGTTGAAGGCAGACGGCCTGCAGCACACACATTTAATCGCAAGTGAATGGATCGGCTCGTATGGAGGGTGGGGGGGGGACTAATTATTAAAAGAATGCGGACGAGGTGGGGGGGACTGCGGATGGAGGGAACGGGTGGATTCGGGCCAGTGATGGAAGATCGCTCACAACAACGGAAAAGGACAGGAGATCGAGCGTAGGATAGAGGTGACGAGGGGAATGGAGAGGGGGGGGGGATAAGACAAAAGGTCGGGATCGAAATAAGGAGCGGCGGTCAGGAGGGCATTATTGGAAAGAGGGTGAAAGAGAGGAGAGAGGGCTATTCGGGAGGGAGCGAAAAAAGGGACAATCGGGATTGGGAAGATGGTTTGGTTGATAGCGGGAGAGGGGTAC